TAGTGGCTGAGACACACTGTTAGGATTACAAAGTGACATAAAGTATGTAAAAACGTGCTGTAGCTCAGAAAACCCTTTAAAATGTGTACTAATATTATGCAGGTCAAACCCACAGTTTGAAGATGATGAGTAGAAGCCCAGAGGGGTTAGATGGCCAGACCCAGAACATGCAGTAAGTTAGTGGCCCCCTCTAAGGCGACGGGCTGCACCCCTCAACTTTCTATTCACTGTGCTCTTACATGACACTGCTGTGACCATAATGTTGCTACGTTTATCAAGCCTCAAGCATTTTGCACGTTCATCTCACTAGATACGAAAACTAGGGACACTGTCCTGATTCTCTCTCTTTCCCAGGTGGGAGGAGAGGTGGAGAAACCACCCTGGTATCTCAGACGTAAGCAAAAAGAGAGCCGGGAGCTGTGGTTCTGGTGCCCTTGTTCTCACCCACTGGCCTCCTCAACCTAAAACTCTCTCTGTTCTCTCTCTTTGCAGCAGAGAACTGAGCCTTGGAAAACATTTGCTGTTGCAGAAAGCCGGCTAGCCACTTCACAAACCTTAACTCACATCACTCTCATAACCCCCCAGTAGATCATCTTCCTCCTAGCTGATAAAGGAACACGAGTCAGTGAACAGAAGTCCAGGGACTTGGTAAAGGTCGAAGGGCAGGCGGGACTACACTTTTGCCAGAATCCAAAAACAATTCCCTCGTGGCTTCCCACAAAACTGCCTTACAGAGATTGCAGGGAAGTTAGTAACCATTGTTAGGAGTAAAACCCGGCTGCAGCAACAGCCCATCATTACAAGTAATTGTTGAGGCAGATGGATCGGAATGGAAGCAAGGAAGAGATGAAACAAGGAAATACACAATTCTATGGCACTAACAGGACAGAAATAGCACCTTACATCAAGCATTTCCCAACTGGAATCTACTGAATTCTAGCCCGCTCAGAGATAATGAGTTCTTCACTGAAAAGTAGATTTGGGAGTAAAAAAAAAGTTTGTAAACTAATGCTGTAAAACCAAATTGATGTATATATGTGAGCCTGTACACACACACACACACACACACCTGTCTGTCTATTTATATACTTATATATATACACACATGATTGACCTTTGAAGAATGTGGGCTTGAACTGGGCAGGCCCAAACATAGACTTTCTGCTGTCTCTGCCCCCCCATAGACAGCAAGGCCAGCCCCACTTCTTCCTTGTGCTCAGCCTACTCAGCACGAAGACAGCAAGGATGAAGATCCACCTTAGGATCCTTGTGATGAAGGTCCATTTCCATTTAATGACTATGAAATGTACTTCCTCTTTCTTATGGTTTCTTACGACAATTTCTTTTCTCTGGCTTACTTTTTTGAAGAATACGGTATAGGTGCATCATATATATAAAGTATTAATTGACTATGTTATTGATAAGTTTTCTGGTTAAAAGTAAACTATTAATAGCTATGTTTTCGAGAAATAAAAAGTTACACATGGATTTTTGACTCTGCAGGTGCCGGTACTCCTAACCCCCACATTGTACAAGGGTCAACTGTATATGCATGCATATATATCCATATCATTTCCGCAGGAGTCTAGAATTTTTTCTTTACTTGTTAGAGTACAAGTTAAATGTTCATGAAGAGATATATTACTTTTTGGACTTATCCAGAAGTGAAATGCCTTCCTACTCCCCCCCAACCAGGAAACTGATTAATATCTAAAGCAGGAGTGAGGACTAACAGGTAGTCCCCAGACAAGATTATGTTCCTGAGAATGTCTTTAGGTTGTATTTGTGTGTAACTCAGATTCCTGATGAACAGCACATATACAACAACAATAATAATAATTACTCTAATGGCTCACATGGGGTTTTAATAATATAGTGTCATACTGTAATAATAATACCTCTGAACTGTAATAATAAGTTACAGACACCATTGTGCTCTTTAAAATCAAACAACAGGACATAAAAACAAGTGCATACAAAAAGTTTAGATAGGAGGTATTTCAAAAAAGAATATTAAAAGTTAAAACTCACCTAATGCTGTATTAACATCTTGCGTACTGGAAGCAGCATTTTGAGAAGGTGGACTGACATTAGTTGGAAGATGATAGGCCGGGAGCAGAGGTGCACCCTTATAATCCCTGCATCCTGGGAGGTCAAGGTGGGTGGATCACCTGAGCTCCTGCGCTGCTTTGAATCGTGACATCTTTGGGCCAGCAGGATTCCAAATACTCAATTGGACAATATGGTAGCATTTCAAGAGTACGAAGGCAGACTCTGGACGAAGAGGTGGGACCCCTGTGTTGGGTCTCCCACCCGCGAGCCGTGGGACCTCACGCCAGCCACTTCCCCCCACTGCGACTCAGTTTCCTTCTCATCTGAAACAGCTGAGAAAGTTGCTCTAAAGGGCTAGATGTCTGTTTCCCTACAGAAGGTTACAGATTGACAAATATGTCTTCAGTATAGTTTAAAAAAAAAGGAAAGAGAGAAAAAAAGAGGAAGGAAGGAAGGAGGAAAAGAGAAGAGAAGGGAAGGGAAGGTGAGTCCAGGCTTTGTGATCAGACCTGGGGTTAAAGTTGGGTGTGAGTGAGAAAGAGATAACGTGAGTAAGCTCTCAGCACAGTGGTAAACGGCTAATAAATAGCATGTATTAATCATAATTTCCCCAAGTTTTAATGTCAAATGCATGGGGGTCTCTGGGTGAGTTCCTTGCCACCGTTCCTAGACGTACCTGCCTCTCATCAGAGCCTTACTTCTCTGAAGGGAATCAGTCGTAATTCTCAATACAGCCAAAACACATCATATGTAATTCTTGAATTTTAAACACGGCCTCTATTACATTCCTAACGGCACTACTCTAGGTATTACTCAGTATACTCTCAGTACTTCCTGGAACTGAGCCTCGTTGATCATGTATTATAGGCTATAATTGGTTATATATTACAGGTCTGTATCTGAATTAATCACCCATCACTGCAGCCAGGAGGATGAAATACACTGATTGGTCACATTTAGGTCAGGCTTGAGTAAGCCCCAATCTCTTTCTTAGAATTTTAAGACAGAGAAGTTGTAAGAAAGAGATTTATTTCTTACAGTTCTAGGGGCTGGGAAGTCCCAGACTGAGGGTCCCATATCTGGCAAGGGCCTCTATGTTAAGTCATCCTGTGGTGTTAAAAGCAGAGATGCAAAAGTGTGTGTGTGTGGGGGGAGGGGTTCCATTTTAAAACAATCCCACTCTTGAGAAATGAACCCCCTCCTCCAGAGACACTGATGCATTCACAGGCCAGAGTGAAGGCTCCCCCGTCAGCGCTGTTGCACGGGGATTAGCTTTCCAGCACATGAAT